GTGAACATGGAGCTGTTATTTATTTTTTGAAACGGCTGAAATATTGCAGCTAGTTTTTGTGGCCAAACGACACCTTCTTCCCGTCACCAATTCCTTCCCTTTTCACCCCCGTCCCACTCCGACCCCCCCCCCCTTCCCCCACTCGGAGGCCCACTCCCCCTCCCAACCTCCACCCCCAACCATTCCTCTTGCAGGAACGTACTTTTACTCCAAGACCTGCTTCATTACTCAATTCTCGGGTATGGCAGGGAATGGGTTAAAAGCTGCTTCTTGTAGGCAATCCCAATACTTTTGTGGGCATCTGTGAATGGTTTCGGATTGAGGAGCACCTTGTAACAGCAAAAAGGAGTAAAAACTTTATAAAGTTTTTATGTCATGTTCAGATTCGCTGTCATTGTAACTATCCTGCAAATTATTATTTCAATGTTTACCATTGTTCTCCGAGGCTTCGTACCTGTTTGCTATTCTTCAGCAATGACACAATCATCAAACCTCACTAAGCACTTCTGTAGCCCCCCCCCCCCCCCCACCCCCCTCCCCGATGCTGGGATTTTACCAAATTTAGTTGAAGAAGGGAGAAGTCAGCAAACAACTTGGTGTTACCGATCTGTCAAACCTCTCCTCAGTGCTGCTCACAGTATCCTCCACAATTCAGTAATGTACTTCAACACGATACTGCGTTAAATGGGACAAAAGCTGCCGTCTGTACCTGCTTTGAAAGTCAGCGGGAAGGATCTGATTCTCTCTCCCCAGTTTATCATTCGCCCACCAAATGAAATTTCCTGCTGCGTTTAGAGAAGCTTCAAAGTCATCTCGTGAGACTTCAATGTTGGATAGCAACTCTTTCACGCTATGCACAGTGAACAAGTCCAGTTGAACAGTTTGCATATTAAAATTTGAACTTTGAAAGCGTTGTTGTGTCGGAGAACTCATCGATTCACTTTGCACGAAGAGAACGATTTCAAAATTTTGGAAATTGTAATTGTATCCTTCCACTTTAACCAAAACGGCTGCTTTTGCAGCTGTCAGCAGGCGAGTGTGGCGTTAAGACTGGTCTTTCACGAAAAGCGCCCCAATTGGGCTGCTAAATCAATAACTGAAAATCCTTTTCAAGGCATCATTTGACCACCACCTAATAGTTTCGCCGATTGTTCCCAACCGTTTCATTGTTGTGGAGTATCTACTCCAGATGTTCAAACGCCGGTAAGATTTCCGAAACAATATTGTAAGTGTCATTTATCAGTGACAATAACGATGTACTGGTCACCAAAATGCATAATATGTAGCTTCCGTAGCAACGAGATTGAATAAATGACATGAATGCAATGCAGCTTAATGCACAAAACATAATTCAGCTGCATTGGAGTCTCGTTCGATAGCAGACTACTGAAGCCTGCATGTTTGCTGTACTGTAAAGAAATTGCGTTTCTAACACATTGCTCTTGACGTCAGTCCTAGTACATCTTCAGACACAAAATGCGCAAAAACTTCGTCAGTCGTTTCTTCGCACTTCACAACGCTCTCTCAGACCCCCACCCCCTTCAATTGCAAATATCTCGACGTCTACTCAAGACAGATGGATACTTTTTCATCAAAAGCAAGAAAATGTTCTACCAATAACTCAATAACTCCATAATATGTGCCCAAAACTTGACGGGCACCTGATTCCACTGTGTCGTGACACGGTTTATTTCAATGGTGTAGTGAATTGTTGCAACAGAGCAGTTCTCATAATTACATGTAGTAGACTTTCAACAGTATTGATCATTGGCCAGTTTGACGTTCCATTGGTTGTATTCTATTTGTTCGAAGTTTTGTTCAGAATAGCGCCCTTTAACATGGGCCTTTTCTTTTTCCTTTAAAGAACCCTGTACCATGGTCGATCTCTTCACTGTCAAATAAGGTGTTTAAGCTGCCTCTTCATGACAGCCTCTGCAGCTCTGGTCCTTCTTACAATTTTGAATAAGGTCGAGTTTGATGACGTCCGTAGCAAAACGTTAGAAACGCTGGATTGTTGCTGTTTGACCAAAGGTAGCATTCTCCTTGAAATCTTGAAATATCAGCAGTCTTTAGCGGCTGTACACAATTACGTGAATAAGTGGGGTGGCAATTTTTTAAACTTTTTGTCCAACAAAGCACGCATTTTCTGGCAAATACCCACAGGCTAGTTCGTTTTCTCTCTCCCCTCCCCCACCCCCACCCCCTGTACACACACACACACACACACACACACACGTACACACACACACACACACACACACACACACACACACACACACACACACACACACACACTTGTTTTTTTTCCTCTGTAGTAATGAAAGGTACAAAACAACCATCTCTCTGCTACATTTTTTTTCCACAAGTAGCTTCCCTTGTTTCTGAGCGCAGTCCGGATTTTATTCCTTTTCTTTTGCTTTCCTCTGGTTAAAAAAAAAAAATATATATATCTAGATCTATATAATAAATAAACTGCTGAAAAGTATGTCTAAGAAAAAGTTACAAAATTTACTTATCGATTTTTATTGTTGACATTTTTAGTCTCACTATGCCCAAAGGGATTGGTGGTCTTTTTCAAACGGTACACAAAATTATATCTTCACCGCAATCTACTTCCCTTCTCTGTTCTTTCTTGACCTTTCAACTCAGGAAACGAAAGTTGAAGATAAACACAAAAGTGTCACAGTGAGACAGATAACAGGCGAACGACACGACACGGTCACACAGATGTGTTTTCCCACCCTCTTTTTCTCTTTATAATACTGGTCAAGTAAACTTCGGTCTTCTTTTAAGGAGACATGCTGTATTCCTGAAACATAAGGAAGGTTGTGCAATATTCGTTTCTTCTTCAGTGGAAGTGGAAGATTACAACTGGCACAGATTGAATAATCCTATTGAAGTATTATTGGTATTAGATAAAGGCTGCTAGATCTATATAACGTGAACATAATTGTAATTCTAGATATCTAGATCTCTAGTATTACTATTAGTAGCAGGCTATTACTATAATTAAGTTAGACTAGATGTAGATCTATTAATAAATAGCGCCTTTATTACCTTTAATTTGAATAGAAAGTAAAAATGTATAGAATATAGGATACCTACTATAAAAATGAAGTGACTAGATTTCTACTTCTCCGAACGTTTGGGAAAATTAAGTTGAACTTTATTTCTCCGAATAGTTTCCGATCTCGAGATTTTTTTGGTTATTTGCGGGATTTAGGTGACATCCTTTCATTCTGCCGTTCTGCGAGGACTGGGAAGAAAGCATTTTTTTTACACCGAATTCAGTTTCTAGATCTGCTAAAGATTTTTAACATGTCTTGTATAATACCCAGATACTTCAGTTGTGGTTGGGGCAACGTTCGGACTATACTTCATTTGAAAATGTACCTTCAAAAGGTACTGCGAGAAAACAAGACTGATCGACCTTGGCAGTAGTAGTAACCTATTTTGCGTTTAGTCCACCAGCAAAAACTGAAATCCTTTTATGTAAAAAAAAATCCCCCCCCCCCCCTGTCCACACCTTACACACACGCCGACACACACACACGCCGACACACACACACACACACCCACACACATGCTCACTCACACACACACACACACACACACACACACACACACACACACACACACACACACACGGGCCACTCCATTCGCTTTTATTATCAACAAATCTCGAGAACGGAAACCGTTCGGATATAAATTAAATAGAGTTCAAGTTTATGTTCCCGAACGTTCGAAGAAATAGAGCCGGCCTACTATAAAAGCGTGCGATCTTTCTTAAAATACAGTGAAACCTGTGTAAAACGGCCTCCAGTTGAGCCATTGTCAAGGAGTGGCCATATAATGTTTACTGTAACACAGATGGCGGTCTTAGGCAGGACTGATCAAAATAAAGAAAGCAAATCATTCTCTTCCGAGGTCCAAACCGAGGCTTATCTTGGGCTTTAGATTGCCGTAAAGGCTAATTCAAAAGAGTAAATTGTTTTCTTTTGAAAAAGGGTGGTGGGTGGTGTAAGAAAGGGTTTTATTTTGTGTCACTGTTCCGTTGCAAGGGTAAAATAAACTAAATATTATGTAAGTAAGACGAAAACCGAGTGCCATTGTTAAACAATGCGACTGAACGTAGAACGACGCAAATTATTTTTAGGTAAGGCTACCATTTTGCGTGACGTCAGACCGGGATACTCCTCCCATCACGTGTTTAATCTAAATATTATAGCCAACCCCATGGCACCATAGATCGTGCATACAGTAGTAGAGAATCTTTGATGGCACGACGCCTTGGCAAGATGCGATGTTTTTCCAGGAATACCGGTAATGTGATATTATGATGCGGTGCTCCGATGATGCTGCTGTTTATCTCTTAACTGCGCATTGTTTATCGATCTGGGGGAGGGGGGTAATCTTCCTTCGACTTTACAGCAATTTGCGCGCGCTTTATTGTCTTTACGTTTATCGTGTTTCAATTTCAAGTATCAGCGTTCTTACTGTTCTGAGCATCAACGTTCTAAGCGATCTTCTATCATGTCCAAGTACCGGAATTTCGAAATGTTACTAACATACCAGAAACATTGTAACCAATCAGAGCATGGCTGACGGGCTGCAGTTAGCCGCAAGTGTGAAATTTTAACATGCGAAACACATCGATATGGATAATACATCAAGACACCGCCCCAACATGTCATTCTATGCGGTATCTCCAAAGATCAAGTAGTAGTAGTAGAGAATCTTTGGTATCTCCACGATCTTTTAAAAATAGTCTGTGTTGACATCACGTAAAATTAGCAGCCATTCAGGCAGGTGCATCCTTCTACGTTTAGCTGCATGTTGGTAAAACAAACACCCGGGTCGCCACCACTCGGAGAACAAGCAACGCTTCTGTTGCAAGTTCACGTCAACGTCCATTACATTACTTTGTTACAGATTAGGCAAACAAACAGTGACCAGTCACCTCACATACAATTTGTGCATGAGTTGTGGGCAGGGCTTTTATAGGTTATGACGGATCATGCTACCCTCACAAGTAGTTGAAAATTTATTGTTAGGCCTACCCAATTGTCTATTTGGGTTAAAACATTCTTTGGAGGGACTAACAATAGTGACAGGTGAATGAATTATAGCGGCCCGTCCACCGTGTGAGAGGCCGATTCAAAATTTTTGACAAAGCGTCAGGCAATGAGTGACCACACCTGACCGCCTGAGAGGCAGGTAAATTTGGCTGTGGGTGGAAAAAATAAGGAGGCTGCGGCCGCGTTTGACAGGTGACCGTTTTACACAGTTAAATTATAGGAAACGCAAGGAGGGGAATGGAAAGTGGCCGTTTGTATAGGTGGCCGTATTATACAGGTGACCATCATGGCAGGTTCGACTGCATGTTAATTACTTTTGTAGTATAAAAATTTATTTCCGATATTGTTTGCTTGTAACGAAAAGCATGATAACATAGAAGAAAATATGTATGTGACACTTTTGGTAGTTTATGTAGGCCGACGGCTGCGTCTATTCGGACACTGTCCATTTAAGCTCCCTTGTATATTCGAAATGTGTGTCTTTCTATGCTTGCATGAATACAACACCGTACATTGTAGGTCTTTTTCTTTTTGAGAATGATATGCTTCTCTTTCTTTTTGGACCAATGAATCTTTGCAGTTTGCATAAAATTGCATTCTATTTTTCTATTATAATAGAATAATGAAAACCAATTGTGGTTTTTTCATTTCTTGGCGTAAATCGACGTGCAATACATGTTTTGAAGGAGGCAAAATTGTTCTGTAGAAGGATTGTGTCTGTGTCTGAATAGACACTGTGCAGGCCGACAACATAAAGTTTGTTAGGAGGAATGTTGACTGAGGACTGGATGTATTCTGAGTCACTCTGACGATTCCTAATTACTGTGTGGTTGTTCAGTAACACTCAACTGAGTTCAAAAATTGTATTCAACAGTTGTTCTTTGCCCTTCTTTATTTGAGGGTGAGGGGGTGGGGGTTGTTGTGAGATAAGAGAATATGTGAGTCTTTGCAAGAACTTGGCACTCCTAATATGTCAGAGGTCAAAAATTAAGATTACAAAGAAATGAACTGCATTCTTTCTGTTCTAGATAGTTGTTACTGTAACATTTGAGGTGCTCAGCTCATAAGGCTAACTCAATTTGTTTTTGCCTCCTTTTAGTTTCTTTTGCTGGTTGCTGAATATTGACTGATGGTAACACTGACAGTGCTTCAAGATGATGAGAAATATTTGTGTGTCTTCAGTTTCGAAATCCATCGAGTTTGCTTGGTTTCTCCTTATCCAAGCTGTTTTCATCAACTCCCAGAGTCTGAAAGATATACCTTCAGTCTTTCCTCATAGACTCAATTCACCAGGATTAAATGCCCAAAAGAAAGTTTGGTGGGCTAAAGAAATCACTCCAGATTTCCATGTGTGTGGAAGGCTTTCAGATCGGCAAATAAAATATGCTGCAGATGCAGGATTTAAAAGTGTTCTGTCCCTTTTTACATACCCTGCTGGGGACCCCCCAGGAAGCTTTGGTGGAGACTACTTGCCTGTTACTGTCGCAGAAAAGGTTATTGTAGAAGAAGTAGCTGGGCTCCAGTTTATTGCTCTGCTTGAACCAATGGATGAATGGGCCAGTGTGGAAGCAGTGGAGAAATTTACTGCCATCGAGCCTACTTTGAAGAAGCCTGCACTTCTTCATTGTGATCGTGGTTACACAATTGCTTTTGTGACTTTATTGTATATGGCTAATCAGACACGCTACAATCCAGATTTTCAACCAAAGATTCGCTCAAAGGAGTTTTATGAAATCACTGCTTCCATGGGTTTAGACTTTCTCCAGAGAATACCAATGGAAACAGTGTCTGAAATTACTGGTGAGCCTATTCCAGATATAAATGATAAGTCACTCCCAAGAGCCAATTTTGAGCCGGAGGATTGGTTAGATTACTGGTTTGCTCATCCAGTGTATAAAAATTGGTTTGTCGCTGGTCAAATAACCAAGTCTCATTTATCGCCTTTGGAAGAATTTGGATACAAAAGTGTTGTGAATATAAGGGAAGGTATGACGTACAAAGGGAAGCCTAGTCAGGAGGAAGTGAATCTTTTGAATATCAGAGACAGGACTGGTACGTATGGGGATGCTCAAACAGCACCACGACAGTCTGAGGAACGGCTGAAAGAAACTCTGATCAACGAACACTTTTCAAATTCTTTTATAAGTGAAAAATCAACCAAGAATTATGAGAACATTAACGAAGACGAATTTGGAGATATTATTGGCTATAATGAAGACATTGAAAAGAAAGCATTTGAAGACAGCGGATTGAAGTACTACCATATTCCCCTTGACAGTAAGACATTTTGTTTTTGTTGCTTCTTTAGAATTGGGTGAATTTTTCAGGTGTTAAAGATGCGCTTTATAGCAACAATTTTTTGGTGTTTTTGTTTTGCTCTGTTGTATTGTCCTTATAAAAAAGTAATAATTTTCCTTTATATTTGCAACAGGTGTTTGTTTTATTGTAGTAGAAGTTTTACAGCTCTTGCAACACAGTATAAAAGTCAAATAAGTGCCGAAGAGTAGAGGTATTACAAGAGAGTAACAAGCACAAAAAAGGAGGGGAGTAAAGGATGGTAAATGTTTGATAAGAAAGAAGGAGCAAATGGCACCAGAGCACACATACCAACCGCCCACTAATACTAATTCAGGTGTTAAAAGTGAAAATAGAGTGAAAACTAGTTATAATCCTCATCACCGAGACCAAATATTAGAAAAAAGTAAAAAGAGACGAAGAGAGGATGATAAAAAATAATGACAGTCACACCTGTCCAAGGTGATGACCCATTGTTGAGAAGAAAAGTGTTCATAGACCGGTGGTCATCTTAGACAGTGTCATTTTATTAAATTAGAAAAAAAAAGCACAAGTGGGAAGTGGTTGTTCGCACAGGTGGTCGTTGCAGCAGGTTTGACTGCAGTAACAATTTTCTGTAAATTACATATATCACCTATTATAGTTTATGAATTGGAACTTAAAATTATACTTTTAAGACTTGTAGACTGTATTTTAATAAGAAAAAATAGCTTTAAGGATATGGATTAAATGTTAGTGTTAGCCCTAAAACAGCTAAAAATATCATACTTTTGGCAAGTTTTTAAAATGTTTTAAGCTCAGAAAGCAAAATTTTTCAGGAGAGAGGAAAGACTGGTTTCATAGATTGTTAAGAATTGTATTTGTATCTTTTCTTGTCTTTTTAAGCATAAATTAGAGTTTGAATTTCAACTAAATATTTCTCTTGAACATGCTACCGAGACCACATATACATGTATTACAAAACTGCTAAAGAAAAAAAACACATAATTTGGCGTTTAGTATATATATATATTTGAACATCTGTCTGACGATATTATCTTATTCATTTCTTTTGCTCCAGCTGTCTTGTATGGATTATTGAGCTTGATTTTAGAACAGACAGTTGTAAATTTTCTGCTTCCTGAGCATTTTCAACTTTGTCAAATCTTTGCAAGCATGTAAACTTACTGTCATTGTACCTTGAATCATTTGAAACAGCTTTGAAATTATTTGTTCATATTATATGGTTGTTTCACTTATCCATATTCCAAAATTTTTTCATTGATTTATTTTTGTTTGGAGAAATATCAATCTTATATTATGCTGCAATAGATTCTTTGAAATGTGGCTTAGATCATTATATAAATATATAGCATTAATAGGATAGATTTTCACAGACTGCTGTTTTGACATTGCCTCCTTTTTCCTTTCCTTTGCAGACAAGATGAAGGACTTTGCAACGTTTATCAAGGAAAACATGGACCAGTTGATTGAGATTAGCAAGAAAGGACCAGTTCTTGTCCATTGTGCTCGAGGATATAGAGCAGGTATTTTTGGGATGAGTGTCTTGATTTATCTGGATTATTTTATAAGCAAATGTCCACCGGTTGTGGTGTGGAGGCTATCTAAAGCAGGCATTAATAGATACCATTGGTATTTCTATATTCGGTATATTAGGTAAAAAATCCCCCACCCCCTCACCATACACACAATTAGCCCCCTCCCAAAGAGCAAAAACAAAGAAAACCTCATGTGCATTTTATTCTTAAAGGTTCGAAACAAGGGATATATGAATATAGATGGATGAAAAAAGGATTCCCTCCTTTGCTTTTCTGACACTTTTGCTGTTGATTATGGGCCAGGGATTTTCTGTTCTGAATTAACTAGTATATTGTTGTACATGTTTTAGTTTAATTAAGGCCACTTTAAATCCAGCAAAGTTAGGGGCACAAAGTCAATCAATAGCAAAGTTGGGATGTAGTGCCGTGTAGGAATCGGATGGCTTTTAATTCACAAGTATTGTACTCCGCAGACACTAGCCTGTGCACTGGACTTGTAATTTTTTGTTTGCCTTATATTGTACTGATAAGATGGTGGGGGTGGCATGTTTCGAACCTGGTATCTATTGAATGAGAAGCGAAAACCGTAACTTCAAGACTACAAGAGCCCACTCGTACGTCAGTGTCAAATTTCTCATCAGATAAGAGTTAACATAGAAGTAAGCAACAATGTATATGTTCTACATATTATGTTAGGTGATTGTAGCATGCAGTCTTTATGCTGCCTTCAGTTTTATCTCGAAGAAAAGTGAAAGTTATCATTTTTCGGGGTTTTCATTATTTAATGACTGAAAGTTGGGAGGGTGTTTCCCCCACTTTCTCTCTGTTGCACAGAATGTTCTCCCCCTTTCCAGGTGTGGTGAAAGACAAATTGCAACCAAATCTTTTCCACTTCTGGAAAATATTGATTTTTTTTTTTCTCAAGTATTAGGGAATCAGTATGTCATGGAAAAATTCCTTTGATTGATAATCTCAGAGTTTTAAAAAAAGTGTTAATAGTTTTCTTTGTTTTGTGCTCTCTGAAGGCTGCTCATCTCTGTTGTGTACAAGTTTGGGTAACCTGAGATAGACAAAACTGAGACCTTTATGTTGTTAGTTCATAAATTTTCCGTTAATCAAAAACCCAGAGGAACTGAATTCTGAAAGTAAGAAGAGGAGAACTAATATTCTTAGGGTTAAAAGGTATATATGTAGGTACAGCGTAACAATTATATTTTTGTCATTCTTTCAGTTTTGCATTTTTTGTTTCAACTCCTCAGCAATGGTGGCTGTTTTGGCATCAGCTGTGCAATATGACCTCACCATTGACTGGGCCTTGCAGAGACTGAAAGAGATGGGAATGGGCATATCAGCAGAATCTCACCCTCATATTTACGATGTCTATAAGGAACTGCTACCATCAAGACAGCGGGTAGAATTATGATTTCCTACTGATAAGAATAATTCATATTTCACAAGAGAATAAAGAAATCTTTTAAAAGGAAAATAGTAAGTAAAATGGATTTGTGGTACCATAAATAAAGCTTTTGAAACTGTTATGAAGCAGTGTTGCACAATATTTAATTTGAAATATGAGGTAATTAATTTGCCCTGGAAGGAAAAATCCAGCCAAGGGAATTATGCTAGGGCCATGCAAATAATACTAATACTATGGGTTTGTCTCAAGTTTGAAGAAATCTGCTATGAGCACTATGATGAGCAGTGGAGAGTGTTCCTACCACGTTTTACCAGTATCTCTAGTCATTTAAAGTCCAGCAAGGGTTTTTGTTATTTGTCTAGAGTGACATTTATGTACTATTGAGATTTTTGTCATTGCGTTTTATAGAAATGGTAAGTTTTTTTTTAGTTAATGTCTTATTCATTGTGTAATTTTTATAGAAACTTTTTCTTTGTAAAACACAGATCATTATCACTGCTTGACTAGACCTAGGCAATTAGAAAGACAATAATTTTTAGTAAGGTCATAAAATATATCAATTTTTACAAGTAGTGAAAAAGACCATACTGTTTATTAATTACATACAGTCAAGCATGCACAAAACGAAATCGATGGAATCCTGAAATCTTTTTGCTATGGATGAATTTCACTACGTATGTGTTGCAAATGCAAAGAATATACGTTAGTTAAAAAATGCTGGTCCTGAAAATCTGTTCGCTATGCACTCGTTTTACCATGTCTCCATTTGCTATGTTGCCTGCTAACCTGTTTGTGCTTATTGTTTGTTTTCTGTGTTTGCTGCATGTCTTCAGTATAAATTTTCCAAGGGAAAGATATTTCCAGAGACTTTTTTAATACTGGACTAGGATGAAGTAATTTCTCCATATGCGAATATGTTTACCTCAAGATTGAATCAATCATTTTTGTTCCTTTGCTACTCTTTGTCTATGCTTTGACTGTTATCTTTCGAAGGTATTTTGTCTTTAGTTAATTAAATTACGCTGGGAGAGATTACGATGACTTGTGCTCAGTTTTCTAAGTGTGGCTTATAATTATCAGTAATTGTTAGTCAAGGAGAATGATTGAGGTTCAGCAACTTGAAGATGACGTTGTGGATTTATGAAAAAAAAGCCGGATTCTTTCAGTTTAAAAATTACTTCTGGAGATGATACCTTGTTTTTTATGCTATATGCTTCAGATATTTGTCAGTGCATTTTGAAGCTTTTATTTGTCAATCCGTTCTGTGTGTTTGGTGTTGTCTTAATTTTAAACAAACAATGTCTATAGTTTTCTTTTTTGATGGGCTGCGGAGTTTGAAATGGAATGTATGTTTTAAAGAGAATCAGTTCCTATACTATGTGAACTGGACATCGTTAGCTTTTTTGTTCTAGTTTTGTTCACTTGAGCCTTCTTTAAAACCTAAAATCTCAGAGCACCATTTGCTTTTTATTGCTTTCTGTACACATGACTGATATCATAACCAGAGGGTTTTTAAAGAATTACTGCTCATTTCCTCGCTTTTTTGTATATTTTTATTTGTCATTCTCTGTCATCCCCACCCCCCAATTTCCGTTAATCTTCTTATGTATTTGTTTCTAATGGTCTCAGTGGTTTAGGAAATTCTCCCAAATTTAACCATCCCATAAAGATTTCCAGACGAAATGTCAGTAAGTGGTCCTGAATTCTTCAAATATTTGTCTTCTGTGTGTTTTGAACAAGTTGTCAGATTTCACTATTCTTTACTGAGGATTGCTAAACAAAAGATTTCTATTCTATGGTGTCTAGTGTTGAGAACATTGCGTTCATTTTATGGTTACATTGTACCCAGAATTAACAGTCTTGATGATTGCTTTGCTTAGCAATAATTTTCTGCCGACCAGGCTTATTTTACTTCATAGTGAACTTTTTGCAACATTAAGGGCTTTCATAAAAATTGGATTGAATTCGTGAGTTATTATATACTATGTTTTCTTAAAATCTCTATCTCTCAGTGACCTATTTAAACTTACACTATATGTTGTACACATATAATGGATGTCAAGGATTCAAATTGACAATATTAATATATAAATCATATCAATATATAGTCATGTTTTTTATTGCTTTCATCAAATTGCTTTCATGTAACCTTGCCATTTACTGTTGAACTCGGTAAAAATAGCTTGGAAATATCATGAAACTGTATGCTTCATATGATGAGCCGACGCTTTGTTTTAAATTAATTTGTATTTACTCGCAAAAAAATTAGTTAGAATCACAAAGTTGAATCCATTCTTTCTGGTGCAGGGTTAATGTATGTAGCAGATCTGTTTGGTCTGATGCTTGCTTCAAGAGGTTCCAAGTTTTGTTCTTTTTGCAATCAGCAGTATCGATTGAAGTCAGTGGGTAGTTGGAGGGCGCCACTGGTAGGTCCTATTTCTTAACTTTCTCTCAGTTGTTTCTGTCTGTCTGTCTGTCTGTTTTGCTTTTTCCCAGCACTAAATGATCATTATTGTGTTGATGTGCTTCTGTCTACTCAAACAAAGGTTAAAGTGACTTTTGCTAGAATATTTTGATGGAAGGAAAGTTTCATCTTCAATGTATTGTCATTATTTATTTGAGGTTTGGTGAGAATGTCCTTTTTGAGTGGTTTTCATACCATTGATGACAGTAGTCACTTATATTGATCTCCGAGACCAGTGTCTTTTGCTTCCAGGGATACTTTTTTCTGCAGATAACCAATCTGAGAAAACGCTTTTCCTTCCAAATGATCTGTTAATCCTTGCGTAACCCTTTAAATCAAATGTACAATTGAGGGCTAATGGTTATCGTGATGCATGTATTATTAGATTTTGATGACTTAAGTATGGTTGGCAGACTTCTGTGATTCCATGATGCCAAGTTTATTGTTGGGTAGTACTTGTCTGTTTACTGTTTGCATTACCGTACTTTTTGGTGTTACTGAAGTCCCATTCATTGATCATGTTTTAATGTCGTAGGAGAGTTGGCCATTGGCAGCAGACACACTCACTGACTGAGGCTGTTGATTAATGATAGCTTAGATTTTTGTTTCTTGTGTTTCTGACATAAAAAGTATCCCAATTGTATGTTGCTCAAAGTTGATCATATCAATGGGCTTTAGTGTTTTAGCCTCTTTACACACACTGAATGAAGAGATTCGTTGACTGAATATTGGTACATGTAATGCTGTCTTTAAGTTCAGGAATACATTGTATTTGATAAGTACAGCAAAAACCCAGTAGCACAATGAAATTATGGTGTAAAATCAACTACACAGTGCATATACACTTTTGTAGATCTTGAGACCTGTGATACCTTCTCATGAATAGCATGGCTGGAGTAGACATAATGATTCTGGTTCAAAGAAGGTACTGTGCTTTATGCCAAGTTTTTACCGTGTTCTTTTATTCCATCTTCTCTGTGTGCTTCAGACATTATGGTGTCACAACTTCCTCGTCAGTCGAAAACTCTGCATATTATTACAATTTGATAATAGGGGGTAGAAAACCACTGCATACTTTG